TCATTCAAGAAAAAATATTGCAAATATACTTTTTGTAGACTGGATGGTACATTAAATGCATCTTTACCAGCTAATACTCATCCAGTACTTTTCTGAATGATTATCTTTATATCCCATTAAGTTAACTGATGAAATCCAGATTTGAATTTTTAAAGCCCTCAACTAAAAGTCTTTAATGTTGCCCCTAATGATGTCAGCCCAGACAACTCCGCTGACCCTGGGTTAAAGACCAGATGGAGCCTGGTTTCAGCATGAAGGAATCTGCACAGTTACAGTGAATTTAGAAACATCTGCAGCGACTGATGCAGAACTGGAACTCTGGCTGGAAGTAATTGGGTGTATTTGTCATTATAATGGAAAAAAACTTCAGCTCCAAGGGAGACTCACTCAATCATCAGATAACTATATATGTGTATAGGACATGTGAGTTGAATTAAGAGGAATGGACAGTTTGTAAAGATACCATCCAAGGTTTTTGTCTGAAATATACACAATGTCCCGCAGCAGCATCTGACAGCAGTCCACAGTATGTGTAGTAAATGGCTAAATGGCTTTTACTGAGTGACAAGTTTCAATGGCCTAATAGCTGTATCCAGAAGAGATTATTTAAATAAACCAATCGTATGTGTGGCTCTTGTGAAAGCTTTCCGACTCTAAACTTTTTTCATGGTTTAATTGGAACTCGTTGGTTGTTCATTGTACTCTCTATTACTGAAAATGGCAGGATGTTTTGCCATTCTTTCAATTTTACTTCATGGTCTTGGCTTTGTGGTCAAGTGTACCCTTTCAACAAAAAAATAAAGAAAGAATACCATATCAGTCATATAAATGTCTTGGAAACCCAGATGTTTATGATGGATTAAGTGAAAGGGAATCATTGTTAGTACTGGAAATGAGAGCGCTGTAAGTAAAACACCTAATTTTTCTAAGTTTGTGCTCAACAGTCAGCATCCCTGCATGTTTTTTTTATAGTTTGGCTTATTTTCTTTGATTCTGTGGCAAGGTTATTGATAGTATTAGTAGAGATGAACCTTTGACCCAACAGACTGTCAGGTGTTTATAGAGTCATGCAGTCATCACAACACCAGTCAGTAATTGACTGCATCAGGTGTGCCACTGGAGCCTTAATCCATTTCTAATCTAACACCGCTGTTTTGCTAGATGTTACCATATGTAAGCTCTATCTTACGCAATTCTGTACTTGTCAACACAAGCTTGATTTGAAAAGCTTGATTTGCAAATGTGTTTTTTTTTGTACATGTGTTTGCCTGCCAAATGTTTGGTTTAAACCTGTTTGGCCTTTATCATTGTAATCTGTAAAACTGCTCTCTTAAAGCACTTGGACCAGTCAAACGAATGTGGGCAGTGACTTGCAGGCAAGATTCTTCATGCAGGGTTGTTAAAAATTCTTGTGTTATTGAAAAAATTGTGGATTTTGTGCAATACCTGATGGATTTTGTGCAAAGCTTGCATTCTCTGGTCATCATTTAGAAGTTGTAAAATGATGTTCTTTTGTTTGCAGATTAAAGAAAGGTGTGTTTTGTTTTGTTTTTGTTTTTTTTCCTGGACCCACAGCTCAGGCACTAGAGGGTTTGTTTATAGAACTGATAAAACTTTGTGAGAAGTCTTCATCTCTTTCAACCATATTCAGATTTTAAAATGTGGTCTTCCTTGACATTGACTTATTAGAAGCGATTATACAATTATAGTTTTATATGTTAACGATGAAAAAAACTCTCAGTTTGTTTGCCTGCAAGCTTCTCCTACATGATCAAGAGTTGAGCAACCAAAGCTGGCACACAAGTTCATTTTAGGCCCCTAAGGGTTCTTATCTATATCAGATATTAAGACATCATCATGTTTCCTAGCAACCAACAGGCTAAAGTTAACAATCTCTTTGCTTATGCACCTAAAAGACCATAGAAAAGCTTAGTATCATTTCGTTTCATGGCAGTAACTTGTCATTTATATTCACAACATATGAATTCTATTTACAAAATATTGAATTATGCTTAATATGATATGATGTCATCGTTTTGCCTAACAACGACCTAACGACAGACTAACGTGACATACCAGAAAATACTGCTGCACTCACATGTGCTAGTTTGTGAAAAACCACACACGTGTCATGAATCATGCTTTTTTTTTATACACTAAAGCATTAAAACTACTGAAGGGTGAAGTGCAAAACATTGACCAGATGGGAAACCTTGCATACTGACAGCTATGTAGATGTTACTTTGACATACACCACCCACCTAAATATTGGTGGAGACCTACTACACTGTGACTTTTCAAGTGAACTCCCCGATGGCACTGGTCTCAAGCCACAGTACAATGCATCCTGCTGCGATCTGATGCGCTGACCCTGCTACAAACTACCCAGATCCCATCCTGAGTTGTGCCAAAACGAGCCAAAGATCGAAACCCTCAAACCACAGGGCCCAAAGTAGCTGCTGTTAACCTTCTGGCATTGGATGCCCCAGTCATATGTTTATACCCCAATGAATATGATCTGTTTTCTTGACACGGGGGGGACTGCACAGTATTTGTCCAGTAGTTTTACCACATGCCAGTCGATGTGGTCGACTGGCATGTGGTTTCCTTGGGGCTCAGAGGTCCAAACTTGGCCACCGCAT